AGCTCTACCACAGCTTCCTCCAGCTCTCTGATATGGCGGCACAGTTCATTTGTGGCCAGCTGAGTGTACTGCTGGTAAAAAGCCTGGATCTGTACCTTGCCCACATCCCACCGTAGCTTCCAGGAGGAGTAATTCAGTCTTGTGGCCTCCCAGCCCTGCCAAAAGTTGGCAAAGCAGACCCGGAAGTAAGAGTCTTGAAGCAAGCTGATGTTGAAGCACCAATAGGACGCTCGGATGCAGGTTCTCCCCAGCAGACTCAATTCATAGCAAACCAGGCTATGATCTGACAGACCTGAAGGAATGATGCGGCCACTGCATAGAAGTGGCAGGTGGTGCCTGGTGACATAAATGCGGTCGAGGCAGGCCATAGTGAGACCACCGGCACTCATCCTGGCCCAGGTGTACTGACGCACGTCAGGGTGCAGGGCTCGCCAGATATCAACAAGGCCTGCAGTCTCCAAGATGGACTGCAGTTTCCAGGCTGAGAGCAGGTGAGACTCAGGCCCCATATGGTCAAGTGGGGTGTCAGTGGTACAATTAAAGTCCCCACTGGCAAGGAGTATGTCATCATTCTCACTAACATCGCGCAAAAGGGCGGCCAAGATCTCGAAGAAAGTGACCCTCTCCTGGCTATCAGTAGGTGCATAAACATTGATGAGTAGCAGGTGGTCTTGTGCTAGGGTGATGCGGACAGTCAGCAGGCGGCCGGGGACAATCTCCAGCACGACCACTGTGTCATGCTGTAGTTGTGATGATAGGAGAGTCACAACCCCAGTGCTAAGGTTGGTGCCATGACTCAAGAACAGCTGGCCTTGCCAGGCAACGTGCTAAGCCAACTGGTTGAGCCTGCCAGAATGTGTCTCCTGGAGGAAGGTGACAGCCAGCTGCTTCTGGCGCAGGAGCTCCAGGACGGCCTCCCATTTCACCGGATCTCGACAGCCATTGATGTTAAAAGTATCAATGGTTGTGGCTGCCATGGGTGTGGGTATGGGAGAGAAAGAGTGAGGTAAGGTATAGATAGAAGAGTGAGTCCCCAAGAGCAGACCAAAAAGCAGAGACAGGTTGAAAAAGGCCTATCATGCCCTACTCTACTCCAGGGACCCCGCCAGGCCCCACTCATCTCTCACACGCTGTGCAAGCTTCTCCAGATGATAAGCCATCTGCTGAGTGCCTAGATCTTGTTGCATAAGTTTGGCCGCAGCCCTGCCAGCCTTGATAAAAACTTTAGGATCTGCGCACCATTGGGTGATGTGCCCCGCTATGTTCTTCTGTCCTTTAGTCTGTTTCAAAAAGGTCAAGAGCCCCACCATAGTTGGGACTGAGCCAAGGGGGTCTGCCAACATGGGCTGCACATTTCCAACGGATGCACGGCGAGGCTGCACCCTAGTTGGGAGCTCAGCATCTACACCCTCAATATCTAAACCCATCAACCTCCTTTGATTGTCCAGGTCAAGGTCTGGCTCTCAAAGAGCAATCCCCACATTCTTGGGGGGAGAGAGGCCATCCTTCTGTCGAGATCACTTGCGACACTCAGAAAGCTGGATCTCCATCTCACTATCCTCCTCATCTAATTCAGTAACCTGGGATGTGACCAAGAGCTCAGCAGACTCCTCTGCTGCCCCCTGGGTCAGATCTCCAGAAGACAGACATTGTGAATAGGTCTTACTGCCACCCACCTCTGGAAGCTGGGAGACAGGCGAGGGGTTAGTGACCCCCACCTTCGCCTCCCCCACCTCCAAGCTGCCGTTATCCCCGGTCAACGGGTCATTGACATGACAGCCGGAGCAGGGCCAGGCTCTCCAGCAGGCCCGCCCCACCGCCCCCACCAGCTGAGGAAGGTCTCAGCGGGAATGGGGAGTCCTGAGTGGTGCCTTTCACTTTCTTCTCTTTGTTCTTCTTTGTGGCAGGTGGCCCACCCTTCATAGAGAATGGGCCAAACTGCTTCTGGCCTACCTCCCCAGGGCCATCCACCTCAGACAAGGCCATGGTGGAGGGCAACTGGGAAGAGGCCTGAGCCCCATCATCTGACAGGGCCTTGGTGCCACAATCCCTGACCACCCCAGCGGTGGGAAGGGGAGGCAGATGCATTACCTCCTGGTGTCATCTCTGTACTGGTGGGGGCGGGCACTGTAGATGGAATGAGTGGGGGGGAGGGTTGGGGCCTAGTCCCAGCCCCTCTGGTGGACAGCACTCTCACGCCAGAGACTCCAGCACCCTCAGATGGAACAGGGGTAAAAAGAGGTTGGGAAAAGCTCCCAGCCTCACTGGGTGGGGCCTGCATCCCAGAAGTGTATGCGCCATCCATCAGCGCCGCTGTAGTCACCAATGTTCTGGCTGATCTCCCCCAAAGGCACTGGGTTGGTAGGTGGGAAGAGCTACCACACTGAAAACACGTGGTCTCCCCAAAGGAAAAACAGATCACAAACCTCCGCCCATTGAACATGAGGCTCAAGGACTGAGGCAGAGATCGTGGGCCCTCTCTGAGAAGCATGAAAACCTGCCTTCAAAAAGACAGGACATGCCTCAGTTTTGGGTTCTTACTCCCTATTGTCAGTCGGTGAAAGGGACTCGTAAGAACCCGATAGGGCTCGAGTTCCTTGCCCAGCTCCTGATTGGTCACATGTAGGGGCACATTAGAAATCACCACCCTCACTGCTGGAGTGTCTAGGGGTGCAGCAAAATAATGCGTGCCCACAGTGTCCAGGCCCTCTGTGCACAACCTGTTAACTAGGGTGGAATCACTCAGGTAAATCATTGGGACCATGTTAACACGACCTGCATAACGTATGTTACGCTGTCCCAGGAGACTAGCAAGGGCATCTACGCAGACCTCAATCCCGATGTAGGGAGGGGTGTGAACCCTCAACCATGGGTAATGGGGAGGTTCTTAGAGGCATCCTCATGCCAGGTGCTGGGTATAGGAGCAGCCATTCACTCAGGAACAGTGAGGGTAGAGAGTTCCCTCTCCTTCCTTTCTTCAGACTCACCTCTCAGTCTAACCTCTAGCCTTGTGGTTAGTGTTCTCTGATAGTTTGGGAATGTGGATTTGAACCCCCTTAGGTTGAAAACAACTTAAAACACAGACCTCCCACTTTGTGGTTGACAGCTGTAACTACACACTTGAGAAAAAAGACAACCACACCACAAGCTGTAGCAACAACTCTTTAAAAGAGGGTTCAGCAACCTGTGGTCCACAGGCCATATTCAGCAAACAAAGAGGTTCTATGAGGCTTGCAAAAGTCCAATGCAGCATGGGAAATCAGTTGCATGGAGTGGCCCCATGGTGCCCATCCTATCCTCTGTGGAGCTGTTGCTCTACTGCATCTGCACTAGCTCTCACTGCAGAGGGAATGGGGGGTTGGTAGCAAGGGAGAGGCTGCTTTGCGGTGCAGGGGGTGCAGATCTGGGACAGCATCTTGGGCCAGGTCACAAAAGGTGCCCCCCCACCTCAGAAGAGAGCTCTAGGCTTTGGATATAGCGGTGCTCACTCCATACCTCCTCACAGTCCATACTCAAGTGTCTAAGCTCTGAAGAAAGGAATGATTTCAGATACGCTCACTTCCTAGTGTTTCCCTATTGAGCTGCTGTAGGTGACTCATCATAGAGCTCATTATTTATCATCTTTCTAAGATGCCTAACTTTCCATGTGCATTGTATAGCAAGCCTAGATACCTACCTGTGGACTTTAGATTCCACTGTGGGAGCCAGATGCCTAAAATTTAATTGCTGAGATGCCAGGCTTCTTGGTACTAAATCTGCCCTCTACTACATATTGTGTTAAAGTGTAAATTGGAGTTCTTATGTAAAAATCTAAAATGAAATATTGGTGCTATGCAAAAGCAAGAGAAGTTTGTAAAGTTTAAGAGTGAAGTCAATAAAGGTCTAATTAAAGCCACAGAAATTCTCTATCTGATTCAGAACCTTCCTTTAAGAGTATCTTTAGTAATTTAGTCCATCAGCTACAGAACTACAACAATTAGTGGTTTAGTACTCTCATACTGACCGTGAATTGTTGTGAAGCTGATTTACATACAGCTTTATAAGAGAATGCTCATCAGCCACAGGACTGGCTACATTTATACCCTCAAGTAACCTGAATAATTCAAACAATGAAACCTTGTTAATATCCTATGCAAACACACACAGAAAGTGGCATGCTCAAAGTGGATTCAGTGCATTCAGTCCAATTCATGACTATTTTAGACAGAACAATTTTTTTTTTTACAAAGTAAAATGATGGGATTCAGTTTAATTAAGGCTGAAAACAAAAATAATTAAAAAACAAACTGTGACACACTTAAATATCACGGAGGTGGGGAGACAAAAAATTATAAGAGATTTAGTGTATGGTATTCTTTTACAGAACAGGGTATTATTAACTCTAAAATAACCAGAAATGACCATGGCATCATAGGAATATTTCATGATGGAAAGATGTCATATCACCCACTTACCAGGATGTCAGTCTACCTAAAGTCCTGGCCTTTTAAAATTCCTCATGTCCTACAGAGGTTTTCCATCCACCAGTTCTGATTTCCTGCAAAAAGGACACCTCTGGTGTTCAGAAGAAACAGAATTCTAAAGGGCCAGGAATGCATCTACATTGGATCCTGGTCATTAAAAATAATAGCTTGAATTTATAAAAACAACAAGAGCAATTTTTTTCATAAGTCAAATGAAACGCATTCAGTAAATATAATAGAAGATACTGTAATTAATAATTACTTATGGCTTCCTTTCTTATATTATGAAGCATATTTTTATTGAATGAGAAAAAATGAAAAAAATATTCCTACTAGTTAAGAGAGAGTGGCTGAATGCATAAAAGTAACCAAGATAATTTATGGGTAACAAAAAATTTTCAGTAACCATTTTAATTGTTAGGGTAGTAAAACATCTTTACTCGTGATTATATTATAGGCTTTGTTTCTGGTGTTAAAAGAATAACCACAAATACCCATGTTGCCACTGTTATGTTTGGTTATTTTGGGTCACTGAAACACTGACACACAAAGCAAGAACAATGCAATCAAATGCAGCCATAGGTTATACCACGCTTACTTTCTCAGTTACAACAAGGAGGTGCTTCCCCTTCTAGTTTCTTGGCTACTGACAAGTTTACTTTGATTATTATGTAATAGGTAGCAAATGTTGCACACATTATGGCTGCCTGCTCACATACCGATGTATGGAGTAGCCCACCCTGGGAGTGATATTTTTGGAGAATTCTGTCTTGTTTTCTAAAAGTTCATCAAATTTCAACACGTTTCTTTCTTTGTTGCAGACTTTAATGAAATACTGGATGGTTTAATTGGTTGAAAAGATGACTTGCCATCTTGCTAAACACTGATTTAATATGTCCTAACCTTACCAAAAGTAGCTGCAGTTTCATTCCATTTGATCATTTGTGTTTAAAATATTTTCAGTTAGGTCTAGAAATGATGCTGTGAATTCAGACTACACTGCAAAGTTCAGATCTAGAACCTCGCTCCCTTCCAGTTTAGAGGTGCTTGCTCCTAGGCATTCTTATATGAGGTCCTTCTTTATTTAATGACAAACAACACTAAGCATAAAAATATATCCTTGTATTCTACATTGTATATCATTATATAAAAATTGTTATGGCCAACTTTGATAAAGTCCAAGTAAAATTTGAATACAAGCTATACTAAGAAGGCTGTATTACAGTCAAAGTGCTTTTCTTTCTCAGACATGTAAGGTAGAATTAGGAAGGCATCAAACTCTTTTCCATTTGTGATATGACAGACATTTTAACTTGGATTCCCAGAGATGACAAATTAATGTATTAACACAGTACTCAACATAAAAAAATCCTACCCAACTTCTCTCTTAAGGTCCCCTTGACATTGGCAAATGACTTAGAATCTGTGGCCAATTTTTTAAAGTTTAAAGTTTAGGTGGCTAATCTATGGGGCTAGGGACAGAAGTTACACATAAACTGGTTTAAGTGATCTGAAACTGGTTTAAACCTGTAACAGAACAGAAGCTCCATGCACATAAACCAGTTTCAAAATGGCAGAATCTGGTTTAAGATAAACCTGGTTGAATGTAGTATCAGACTTAACTGATTTGGGTCAAACTGGTTTATGAAATTTCAGTCCCAGACCCCTTCCTGGTTCAAGTTAAAATCAGTCCCCCAGCATGCTTTCCAGTCCTTGGCTGTGCTATCTGCCCCAGAGAACAGGGCTGGCCCCACTCCTCTCTTCCCTAGCTGGAGCAGTGAGGGATGGCTGACAAGGGGATGGAAGGGGCAAGCCCAGGTGGGGATGCAGCCCAGTCTATGGCCCCCACCCCCAGCAAATCCTGGCTGGGGTTTGGGGCCAGGAAAGGGGGTTAAACACTCCTTCCTCTGCTCAAACTTACAGCTGGCTGCAACTGTGGACTACAAATCCCAGAGGCACCTGGAAGCAGGAAGAGGAAGTGATGAGAAACCCTGCAGAGTCCTGTTGCTGTAATTCTGGACTGCAAGTCCCAGAGACCTTGGGTGCAGCAGGAAGAGGAAGTGAACACAGCCAGAGAGTTGTGCTCTAGGACCCCCTTGCTTCTGGCCTGAGTCACTGCAAGCATGTGGCTGCATTTCCTGAATCAAAGGTATACATCTGTTCACTTCTGTTTCAATTTAATCTGTGCATTTTGATTAACCTGCAAAGACTGAACTGATTCAGCCTTAGGCTGCTGTTTGACTCTCTCTACCTAGCTTGGGTATTTTTGGGAACTTACACAGTGATTTTAGGGCCCCCACAAATATACTGTTAGTATTTAAGTACCCACTGAGCATGTTAATGTATAACTGAATGTCCTAGGTCATTGGTATACACTTCAAAATTGGGCTCCCCTTCTGAGTAATTGGAACTTAATCCAAAAATGTGGGATGTTCCCATGCCTTTTTCTAGTCACATTTTTCACTGAGAATTTTAAATAGATAAAAGCCTGAACAAAATCCACCCTCCCTTCCTAAGCCCAAATGACCAGAAATTTATTTTCCATTCAGATGATTTGGGTTAAAGTAAATTGGAAAATAACTCACCTTCTGTTTGCAAAAGGACTTCCTGAGGGAACAGAGTGGGAGAAGAGTGTGTCATTCATGCTGGTTACAGGTCTGGGAGGCCTATGAGAAAGCAAAATAGTTAAGCATATTCATTTTTGATTTAATAAACTAACAGCAATAGTGTTTACAAATAAAGACTAATGATTTTCCTGCTCAAGGTAAATTGCGTGTATGTCTTCTATTTTAAATAATTGCTCCAAATTGAAGTAAGAGCATGTGTGTGTGTGTGTGTGTGTGTGTGTAAAACATAGGATAAGAGGACTATGGTTGAAATGCGTCTTGGGTTTTTGTGTGTTCTGAAGTACCTTTTAAGCAATTTGCTACATGATTTTTCTAATCTGACAAAATAATGTATTGTGAAGCATCTTCCTAAAACTCCATGGTCTATACTACCATGACTGCAGTATTATATAGACATCCCTGAGCTAGCTTTAAAATACCTATAATGGTCCAGCTGCTACAGCAGGAGCTCAGGACAGCTTAACTGCTTGAGTATTTAGCCAACTTTTGAAGCAGGTTTTATATCCAGTGCTGAGCCTTCTGATACTATATCAATGTAGTATAGGCATAGCCCATAAAATACCATAGTGCAAAAATGCTGCATAGGTATAACCTTTAAACCAGCACACACTGAATAAAAATGACTGTCAACTTACAACTTACTTTTTTGTCTGAAATTGCTTATTTGCTGTTATTACTAAAATGGAAATTAGAGGAAACCTTTTCCTTTTGCTTGTTTTGGTTTATCTTGAGTATTTGAAAGCACTTGGGGTTTAGTTTCTTGTTTTCTTTGCCTGGCAAGTTCTCTATTTGTGTACGCTTCTTGTACAGAGAAAAGAAGTGATGAACATTTTGGAAATACAAAAAAAAAGTTTTTAAAATTACAAAGGTGCCTCTGGGACAAGTACAGTACTTGAAGCTACATTTAACTCAGGCTTTGTGAGAGATGCAGTTATTTTGACTTCTGCAAGAGTACAGAGAAGGATGCAACAGCCACCCTCAGAAAATAGAACTTTACTGCAATTTTCAGAACAATGCAGAAGCCCAAATTGCTGCATACAATAGTTTGAATAACCAAGGGTGGTTATACGTGTTGGTGGAAATAACATCACACCATAAATATTTTCCTCAAGATTCTGAAGGGATAATTTGGTTTCTTAAAGTGGAAATACCATAACAATTTTAAAAAAGCTTATAATGTCTTTTCAGATCATTTCATGATAAGAAGCTACATATTTTGGCCTAATGCTGTGACTGGTAACTCACATACTGAATTCTCTAGCTGGACGTTCACTCACGGATCCACAGAAACTGAGAATGCTGTGCTTATGAACAAACTGCTGTGAGTTCATAAAAGGAAGCAAAGATGTACAGTGTGGAAGTGATTTTATAGTAATTTCCCTGTTTCATGAGGGGATCACTTTTACTTATTGTGAAACAAGAGCATACCTACAGGCAGTTACCATGGAGCAGTTGGTGTGCAAGGTTATTATTCTGATAATGAACCTTCAGACCCAGAGGACTTGAATTTTTGGGAAGCACACAAAAACTTCAGTTATTTGGTGAACGCAACAGATGGCACTTTGGTTCCCAAATACCTAACAATCAACTTCTTAGACACCTAAGTGAGTTAACTAAACCTGTAGCAATTTGTGCTGACAATAGGTGGGCAGAAAAAACAATTCTCTTAAAATGAATGGAAGTTTTTAGATTGAAATCAGTGGGTGTTTTGCCACTGATTCAATGGGGGCATGATTTCACCTCTAGTTCGTATTCTTTTTAAACATTTGTTTCTCCATTTAGAAACTGGAGAATATTATTCTTCCTTGCAAGGTTGTTAGATGTATCAATTTTGCTTGACTAATACTACTGATGTTAAGAGGGCCAATTGTGCATATCAAGTTTAAAAGAAATATATCCAGTCAAATAGCATGATGAACAACCACCCTCAATGCAGCTCTTAGGCTCAAAAATATTACATCTCAAGCATCAAAATGCTCTGTCAGGTACTGCTGGATTCTATTATCTTTATTTATTTGTTTTGCAGCAGTTCCTCTGATCCTCAGTCCTGGTGTAGAGCCCCTTATATGCTGTACAAACACAGCACAAAAACTCCATTCCTACCCCACAGGGCTTAAGACCTCAACTGCTTTCATCACCAAAATGCAATTATAAATCATTCAGGGGAGACTGATAATAAAAGACTTTCTTACAAATTAAGAATAATGTAGTCTTCTTCAATTGGCAAGCTACTTATATTCTGGGAATTTTAAACTGTTGATTTATTTGGTGCCAGTGTTTCACATTAGCTACATGTTATTTTTACATTTATGGTTCATTTACTTTTTAACCTGGATGATGAAACCATTGGCCAGTATGTATATTCAAAAATTATTATACATTCTGTGTTGGACTCTGATAAACACTTTGGGATCAACAGTCAAGATATAAGTTATGTTACAAGTTCAATTTTCCTCCAAAAAACATGATGAAGGAGAATAAAGTACTCACCAAGTATCTCTTTTGCAGCCAAAATGAAATTGAAAAGAGACTATTAATTAAGATGACATTTTAAAATGTACATGCTAAAAATAGAGCTTCGAATATATGCCAAACTTAGCTCCTGGATCCTGCAAACAGGCATGTGAGAAAAGTCTATGCACATTAGGTAATAGGGCTGTTTGTAGGTCCAGAGTTACTAGTATGTGTAAATGCTTGGAAAATCAGAGCCATAATTCATGTTTAGTGATCTACTTAATTTGTAGCCAGACAAAGGAATTTCTGTGGCTTTGTCATGGCATGAAGAGTTGATTTTACAGGCATTTCCCAGTGACTCTGCCCCTCACCACTGATTCGTGGAGAGGCCCGGGGGTACGGGGGGAGAGAGGAGGGGGCGGTTGCCATCTTGGCTACTGGCTGCCCTTCATGCCACCTTGCCAGCCAGCACCCTCCCCTCCCAGGTGTACTATGAGGCAGCGAGGACCTGGATCCTACTGGGGAGCCAACATTTTATTTTTATTTTTATTAAGTTTTTTTTAAGTTGATTTAATGGACAATTTTCATGGTTTCGTGGTTTCTGTGAAATCTGCAAAAATGCAAATTAAGTAAGTCCCTACTCATGTTTTGATCAAACCTTTTGCTTTGTATGCTGTGTTTCCTTGTTAATTCTCATATCAAGAAAACTCTTGTTGACATCCATTAGGGCTTTCACAGGATGACTTTAAGGGCACTGTCCCATCTTCACCTTCCTCAAGTTCAACTTGAGCATCACAGACATGTTTAAATATAAAAAGGTGCAACAGACATGGATGACAGATCACCTGGACAATCAAGGACAAATTCTAATCTCAGATGCACAGTCTTCTAACATAGCACCTGATCAGAATGAATAGCCTCCTAGTTCATTGCTAAGCTTCTGGAGAAGGGACCCACAAATGTGGAGAAACTTAAAGTACCCAAACAACCCACCTGAAGGAAGGCAGAAAGCAGCCCAGACACTAACTGAGCATATCCTGTATGTCAGGGGTAACTAACCCATGGCAGGCATGCAGCAAGTGGCATAGGCAGCTGCTCTGTGTGGCATGGTTGCCCCAGATGCTCAGTAGAAGGAGGTGAATTAGAGGAGGCAGGGGTCTGAGCCTCTGTCTGTGTTGGGCAGAGCAGAGGCAGGATGCCACTGAAAAAGGAGGTGTCAGGTGTCAGTGAGAAGAACTAGGTTAACATTTCCCTGTCCCTGAAGCCACCACTGAACTAAGGACTTTGGATCCTCAATTACCATATAAAATGGTGGTGGATGCAGGGCCACGAAAGGGTTAATCTGATTCTTGGAGGTGACATCTCTAGAAGCAACACCCTGCACTCACTCCGCTCACCTTGGCCAGGCACTCAAAACCTTCTGCCTTCCTCCCAGAACCCCAGGTCACAAACTCTATCAGATATCCTAGGGGCGCAGGGCAGGGATCAGAGTGACACCAGGGAACAGGTGGGGTTTAACTTTTGGTATTCCTGCCAAAAAGTTGGCCACCACTGCTATATGCACTATTGCATAGCTAATATAGTATAGCACTGGGCTGTCCAGCTTCCAGATACTGTATATATACACCTATACACACATGCACGCGTGCGCGCGCGCACACACACACACACACACACACACACACACACACATATGCGCTATAGAAGATATCTACAATATAAAATGGTGGGAATATTTAAAAGTGCTCAGTGCTGACCCAATCTATTCACATTAAATTCATGGGAACAAAGTCAGACCACTGTGGCATGTTTTAGAAAATCCCACCAGGACATTTTATTAATACCACTGGTTCTCCCCATGTTTTGAGGTTTCTTTTTGGTTGGCAATCATGTTTATGGAAAACAAAAACACCCTTACAAATGCTTGCATAAACTGAACTCTCATAATCCTCAAATTCACTCTTTAATACAGGATTGTGCACATTACTAATTACTTTTTGCCTCACCCTAAATGGTCCAGTGTTGTGTACATTTGATATGTTTTGCCGTCTACTGTAGTTTTAATTGAAAATGTTGAGTGGGGCCCATAAAATTGAAAAATGATACAGCTCTTCTGCTCTGTGCACTCAAAGGTGGGAAGAGAACAATGAAAAAGAATGGTTACTACCTTTAAAAAAAACAGAGCAATAATAAGGACAAAGACCTTCTGTAAAACTGCAAGTCTTGACAAAGAGGACTCTTTTGTTGCAAGAAGTCTTCCATTAAATGTATTTGTAAAAAATCCCTTTGCCTGGCTTCTTGCCCAGAGCTGTTTCTCCTCATACCTTTTATCTTCCATCATATTTAAAAATAAAAAACACACCAGCAAGAAGATGCTCTCAGTAAATTGCTGTAGCATATCTTTCCCCTCAGTTAATTTATGTGAATTACACTGAAGATCATGCTATCTCTACAACTTGCAGGTTTTTCATTCATGTACCATTATACTCTATACAGTTATATTGCTTTCAATCTAACAATAAGGATAAACTATATCATAAAACAAAATAGATGGCCTCTTATCCTCATGCGCAATCACACTAAATTATATCTATGTATTTAAAAAGGAGACAAGGTGCTAATTTTATGGCAAAAATTTTGAAACAGATCCTATTCAATTACAGTATTTTTTCTTTCCCTTTCTTAATTTTTTTAATCCCTTTACAATTACCCTGTATTTACTGCTACTGATGCATGCTGTCTGTGATATAGATAGATGTCTCTTACTGGAGACTTGAGGAAGTGAACATAGAGAAAAATCTTTAGTTTCACTTTGAAGCTTTCTCTAATGCATGACCAGGTCCTACCTTATTAAGCTGTTATCTATCCATCCATGTGTTCAGGCTTTTATACCATGCTTATCACAATGGAATCTGAGCAAACCAATCTCTAATTTCTCTCTTCCTTAGTACAATGTGCCATCTTTATATTTTTATAAAGCAATGAATTCCTTTTAAGCAATGATCAGTTCTATGCATCTCATGAAAATTAAATATCTGTGAGAGATCTCTCACATTTTAAAAGTAGAACACCGTTGCTGCATTAGAAAAGCTCCTGTTTTGACCATGCAAAGATCATCAGTATGATTTATTTAAAAATTTTAAAGATGGCTAAGGGAGTTCCCCCATCTCACCATGCTGCAGCCACTGTGCAGCATGCTGCTTGTATTCCTCACTTTACACATTCAGTATTGACAGATGGAAATACAGAATAACAACATAAAAGAAAAAAGTCTGGTCTCCCAGTGATTCAGAGGTATACCATGCAAATAAAATTTTATGCTTGTTGCCCAAGTTGCTTTAAACAATGGCTTGATGGAGAGATTTACAAAGAAGATATTTCTTAAAAAACTATGATACTATGATAGAGACTGGAGCACCTCCATGAGAAATACTTAAAAATTCCTGCAGCCTGATGAATTATTTCACCATGTCTAATTCTTTGTCACTTTTTCCCATGTGTTGTACTATATCTGCTTTAAATGTCTCAGAAAGGATGTATTTCATGATCAAATGAGCCAGAGAGCCCAAAGCTACAGAACACCTGAATGAGAACATCTAATTCACCACTAGTATAAATGGTGGATACCCATCACTAAAGAGGTGATTTTCCCCACCCTGTGCAAGTATAAGTCTCCATCTGCTTTGAGTTCCTCCTTGACTCTTAGGGAGGAAAGCATAGTGTTGGCTACTTTATATGAATTTTTAAATTAAAAAAAATATGGACTGGGAAAGGGATGTTATTTTCACAACTTATCAAAACTTAGAGACAAATCATTGAGTAAACTGAAAAAGACCAATTAGCCAGAATCCAAAACTAGGAACAACTGCACACTGAACTATAGAGTTTTAGAGCAAAGGTGATATTGTGGTTCCATTGAACTTTGCCACTGACTTCAACAAGGCCAGGATTTCATGTGTGTCTGAAGGCCAGGATTTCACATACATTATTATTCCTTAGGTCAAAGTAGCTTCTGCCTGACTTCAGACTAAAATAGCTAGTTACCCCCTCTTTAGGTCAAGAAACTGTTGTTTTACATTTACCTCTACATTTGGAGGTTGAATAATAAATCCAGAGTGGCAAGACATGAAAAAAAAATCCAGAAGCCCTAAACCAGGAAACTATATACAATTTGAAGAATCCTTCTGTCCTCTTTGCCCACTTGGTTATATCCCAATACCTGCATCAGTTTTATCAATATTTTCCATATGATTTTTCAATAACTTCAATGCATCCTGGACAGCGAAGGTAAATTCATGTTAACAGAATGATATTATGAAGAATATCCCCTTCCTGTAAATTGATTCAAATTTATCCATCTGATTCATTGCACAAGATATGCAACAGCCATCTTCCATTTCCATCAGAGTCAAAACTACAGTATGTGTCAGCTAGAGCAAAGGTTACTTCTCTACAGCACACAGATACTTACACAATATGAGCCAGGTTTAGAGGTTTTTCAGGCTGGTCAGGGAACATTGGGTGCAAAGGTTCACGGCTGGAAGCACAGCTTAAAGACTTGCTAAGTGCATTAGTTAGCTTCTTAGCAGGTGATTTCTGGGAGGAACAAGGAAGGTAGAGGTAATCTGGACAAGTAAGGTGTAAACTGTTTCTAGATTAAAACTACAGGAAGTACAAAACAAAAGGAAGCGCCAACACTTACAGTCACATATTCTAAACTTTCCCCCTTCTCTAGAGGTCTAATTATTCAAATTTCATGGTCAATAGGAAGATTCCCTTGATCTTGAAAGGGGCTTCACATCAGGCTCCTAGGAAAAGCTGCTGCTTTTCAAGCAGTGGCATACATTTAAATGGGTCCATTGGGTTCTTTCCCTCTGTAGTATTCCCCATATGCATACATTTAGCACTAGCTTCTTTCATACTTCAGTTGTTGTTTTAAAGCCCCACTCCTTGCCTCCTTTAGAAGCAGCTGCCTCTACTATACTGTAAAATGCTGCAAGGGCAATGAAATTTCAGGCCCAGCACTGACAGAACTGCATGGACATGGAGACAAAAAGCTAAAAGAAAAAGCCCTAAAAAATTCCATTATTTCCCAAAAGATTGAGCATCACCTGTCATTGTACAAACACAAGACTTGGATACCTGGGATCCCACAAGTTTCCAGACTGCAATACAAGATAATGCTAGCTTTAAATGATTAGGACGGTCACACACCTTCAGCCCTTACAAGCATATTTATAGTAGGATGACTTCTACAGTAAAATAACTTCTCAAATATCAGTTTCACTACTGAGAGAGAAGGTCCTGTAGCTATCACACACAGCTGAGAACTAGATTCTGTTCTAGATTCTACAATAGATTTCCCATAAGCCACTTGATCTCTCTGGGACTGTTTTTCTACCAGTAAAATGGAGGATACTACTACTTCGATATCAATAAAAGATAGAAGCTTGATTTGCTAGAGTTTTTAAAGTGCTTCGACATGTATGGCAGTATAAAATGTAAAAAGTTCTTACTGTAACCAGGATATTAAGAAGTATTTTTATTATCAGAATTCCAGCTTACATATTACAATGAATGTGAACAATTTAGAACTCTCATTCTACTTTGTTACAGAAGGAACATGACTCTGAATGTAGTCATGTTGAGTTTTATTTCAAACACATAAATAAGTCCACATCTCCAATCTCTTGAAGCAGCTCAATGTTGTGTGTGCACATGCTTTTAAACTTTCAAAACCTAACTTTTAAAAAGCAGACCAAGTATAAAAAATGTTCACAAAACATAAGTGAAATAGATATGATCTTTGAAAGAACACTAGCAAACACAGTGTCAAGGCAACTTGAGACCTGTATTTAAATACTGTATTAACATCTGCAGTGAAAACATTTGGGTAGTAGCAGAAAATGGCCATATATGCCGGTGGAACTTTTTGCTGCATCTACCAAGGATTCTGAAGCACTTTCACATGAAGTCACCTAATTCCCTGATTTGCCTAATTGTACAACCCTTGCTGCAGCAAGAGAAGATGTTACTTCACAAATGTGTGATTAAAGGATGAGGACAAGAGCTGCATGGCAGACAGTCCTAATCAAAGTCTAAACAAAAGGCAAACCATATCCACTCACTGTAAGAGCCCAGAGGACATCTGTAGACCCAGACTTACTCTGAGGCAGTGCAGAGCCATGCGACTGGCATACTAATCAAATAGTGCACCTTGTCTTTAACCCTTGGCTGTTCTATGCACCATTAGCATCAGGCAGGCAGATTATTTCAAGCATCAGAGTTTTAACTATTTGAAATGTGTTTGGCAACTTTGCCTACAAATACACATGTGTATATATAGTTTGCATCCTTCCTACATAAAAGACCAGCTAGTTCCCTGTACATCTGTACTGGAAACTTACTTCTTCTCTTGGGCTGTGATGAGCCCAGATTTGATGACCTCTGGGAGAAGGGGCTAGACTTGGCTATTTGCTGAAGCATTTATGCCAGCTGGGTATGAATGACATTTTATTTTTTAACAATGTCAAGGTGGGTGGGTGCTTATTTCTATTGCTTCATTTATTATGACTCTAATGATGTTAACTGTTTGAAAGCTATTGTGATGGGACTATGATAAATATACATTACACACATACAGTTCAATCACTTGCTAAAACATATTTCACAAAGAGTTGAATGATGCTTTCATATTCCCCGTAATTTCATTAACACATATCCATTAACATATCAAAAGGAGCAAGCAGGAGAAAAGCTAACAGTTATTTTTCTATGGGTCCCACAGAAATGAAGCACTTACTGTGAAAATAGCACTCTATTCCAAGACCCTGCTGCAGCTGTCTTGACATCCAGCACAGTGTTAAACTGCTCAAATCCAGACTAAAAAAAAATGTCTCACCTCCAAATATAATGGTGAACAGGGACCACAATAGTGATGTCTCTATTACAGAGCTGGTTATCTATATTGGCAACAGAGGTTTTATATTTTGCAAAATAAAGCAACTGAGTCAGCCAGTTCCAACTGCATCCTCAGGATTCTCTCTGACTGCTGGAGTTCAAATAGTCTGCAGCAATACATGAACCTTCCCTTACCCATGACGTGTACTCTTTCATTTGGTGCTGGTTGCTATGGGAACCACTGGCATGCCCTCTCCAGAAGCAGTCCTGACAGAGCTGGTAATTGTGACAGTGTTGGCACCGATACCGAAATCCCATCATGCTCTCACTGTGGCAGTAGGAACACTCAACAGGGTGGAAGACTATAGGAGAGACAAATTTAAAAACAAAACAATCAAAATAATAAGAACCAAATTAAGACTGAAGTCCCTAAAAGGGAGCGAATCCTTTCTTTGCTTGGAGTAGCGTTCAATACCAAACGCCATTCACAGTCATTGGCTGCTGAAGATTGACACTGGAAAACTTCACAAATCTTTAATGCATCTCTCCCAGGAGAAAAACTACATTTTTTACTTTCCAACATCAATTCCTTATCACTTCTGAAGACTCAAAAGTGTGTTTAACAGAAATGAAATGCACTGCAGAGGAAACAGAAGGCATTTGTACACATTTGCACTGCAGCGCCAGGCGCTTTTAAAAGCACCCAGTGGTGTGGCGCATGCATTTGTATAAACGGTGAAATGTGAGTCAGTGCTGAGAAAATGGCAGTGGTGCACTAATGAACTAAAACACATGGAAAGTTCAAAAGTGCACCGCTGCCATTTTCTGCATGCTGATGCGCATTTTGCCACTTATACAACTGCATGCGACACAGTGCAGTGTGCGTCGGCTTGCATGTGGAGCAAACTCAATTAATGGAGTCTGCTCTGACCCGGCACATCGCAGCACGAAAATGTGTGTGTAAAAATGCCCATAAATTAGTAGGAAATCCACTTCATTCTTCTCTGTTACTCTGGGAAGGTGTAGGTTTTAATGTTATCTTTAGGAACTGGGCCACTAGTCAGATTTTCAAATTCAGGTGACCACAAGTAAAGTGCCTACATATGTGTGAACATTTTTACTTATTCAGCTGGATACCAATTTTAATCCTGTAATGCTAACACGGACAACTAACAGAAGTTAGGTACCTAGATAGGTATTTAAGCAACCAACATTTGGGACCCATATTAAAAATCTGGTCCTAAGAGAGGACTCTACTTCATCCAGCATTTTAATCAAAGACGCATAAAAGAAGGATTCTCTTCACCAAGAACACACACCTAGTATAATTTGTGGCATTTTCACTACCCATGGGTCTCTCAACTGCAATCCCAGAGCCTCTGCCTACCTTTCTCTGCAGTGATACATATTGTATTTACCCTGCACCCCCTGCAAATACAGACCTGGGAGGGAAGACATGAAAGGAATTCAACTGGCAACTCTTACCCTCTGCTAATAGACAACCCTCTGCACATCAGCTCTCATCATTCCTGACTAAAACTGAGACTCTCCCACTTGTTTTCAGGCATGTTTTCTCCTTGTGGCAGCAGACATGCTATTAGCCCAAGAATTCTTTTGAGAGAGGGAAAATAAACAGTTCTCCTGCTTAACCAGAGAAAAATTGAATGGGAAAATTATTTTCTCTAAAAATGTGTCCATTTCAATCAGAAACTTAAGTATAAAGGCCTAAAATGGTTCTTCAGTTTTTACACTATTCTTTCTTTATAGATCTAGAAGACTTAACAAAACAAAACAATTATCACTGTTGTTTGCAGATGAGAAACTCACCTTAATAACAGGTGAGTTATTAAGGACATACTACTTTGAGTAGGTACAGTTTGCTAAGCAAGACTGTTTCTCTTTTTTCTGTTAAAATTCAAAGTGCTGTCCTCATGCTCAGCACAAGCAGACTAGTTTTGTGTAAGGGAACTATGTTGGAAGTTTCCACAGTTACATGGGAAACTACACAGGGCTTGTGGGAAGGCTGTTGTTATCCACTGACCAGATGACAGCTAGAGTCTTTTTGTGGGTGCCAGAACCGTCTCAATGTAGCAGCAGAATTTATATTCTGCTATGGACTCAATGCCCATGTCCAGACACTCCATATCGACCAGGAGAATCATTGCTTTCCTGGTAGAAACCATGAATGTACAGATATTCCAGCCTTTTCTCCTGAGAAAGAATGGCTGTTCTGGGGGAAAAATAACCTGAATCCAACCAAGTAGAAGCTGCTCCTGGGAGAGATGCTCTGGGAAAATGAATGTCCGTACACTGTCCCGTGGCTTAATTCTTCCTGAGGACCAGGAGGGGTGAAGATATGGGGGGGAATACCTCCTGTGCCTTCTAGAGATGGGGGTAACCCCCCTTCCTATAGACCAGGAGGGGAAGGAAGGGGAGGGGAAGAGAGCATCTGCCACTTACTCCCTGCTGGTTCCTCACACACTAGAGTCCCTGGTGTGAGCATGGCAGGAGGCTTTGTTCTGCTACTTGGCTCCCAGGCACCAAGAGTCAAAATGAGGGAGCAGCATTGTAAGTCCCCTACCTGCTTCTCACACTGGAGTCCCCAGTGTGAGAAGCAAGCAGGGGGCCTTGCCCTGCTGTTTCAGTAACCCCCTCAGAATGGGAGGGACTGGAATGACTCACACATCCCCAGTTCAACATCGTTTCAGTCCTGAGAAGGCATGAGGAGCGTGGGAGAAGGGGCCGTTGCAGACTAAACACCTGTATTGCTCCCTTTCCTGGGATAATTTCTTGCAGTGAAAATTTTCCACCGCTAGAAATTAATGTTTGTACATAGCCTGTATGTGAGAAACAAACCCTGAAGACATGCATATTTGATTTGGCAGTGGCTATAAGCTTACCTCTTCCAAAAGGCTCAAAATGAAATTGGGACCTTAATGGAGAAATAACTGGTTAGAGTTGTGTGGCTTGACATGCAAGTGTTAGGGTGAAAATATTTGGATCTTAGGGAGCACTGGATTTGGATCTTGGGGAGCATTTTGAATAAAGCTGTTGTGAGCAATGTGTGCTAGCGTTTGCTCCCTGCTTGCTCCCTGAGCAACTGGATCCATGGGCAATTGGATTGTCATCTCCCTAGTCATTGGGCGCCGCATGGAGTTGGGGTCTAACACAAAGGATCAAATTACATCAGAGCTGTCAAACTTATCTGACCCTGTGGGCTGGATGAGGGGAATGGGGCTGGTACACAGGCTGGATCAGGCCCATGGACCCCTGCCCACATGCCTGATCCAGTGCATGTGGCACCACCTGGGCCAGTCTGAAATGCTGGCATAAGTAAGTAGGTGCTGCAGCTCAAGACCCAGCTCCAGTGATGGTGAGCAATGGACTAGATGAACATAATAGCTCCTACTGCAGAGAAAGCAGAGTGCTTCAGCATCTGGTTAGGGACAAGCATCCTAAATTTAAATTCTCATCTTTTGTAAAAGGAACTTACTTATTTCTGTTTCCTAAATATATTGTTTTACAGGTTAATAGCCACCTCCTCCTAATGACTGCTTGATAATTTATGGTCATTAGTTCATGAACTGAACTGGACTATCTTGCCAGATAAATTCTAGTGGGAAGGAACTGCCTACCCATTACTTCTCTAAGGCTGTGATCTCATAGCTAATAAAAGTTTCAGGCTTTTAGCTCTCTGGTTATCCAGGGTTTAGAAAAAAGAAGATATATTCAGGGCAACCCCTAGGGCAGGGGTAGGCAATGTTTTTGACTGGAGTGCTGAAAAAACTGCAGTGTCTACCTTGTAAGGTAGAAAAAAAAATTGAGGCGGGGAAGGAGGGTATATGGCAGGATGCACTGCATATTAATATAGTTAATAATCATAAATGTTGCTTTTTAAAAAAAATAAATACCAGGTTTTCTAAAAATTCAAAACCTGGTGACAATAAATAATACTTCATATACTACCCATGTTGTTGTGTATTTTTTGTTAAGCATGTTGTGATGAGCGAGAGAACAAAAGACCAAGAGAGAAAGAAGAGAAAAAGAGGAGAGAGAAAGAGGGAAAAGAGACAGGAAAAAGAGAAAAAAAGAAAGAAAAGGAGAGAAGAGAGAAAAAGGGGAAAGAAAAGAAGAGAAAGGAGAGAAAAAAGGAGAGATGAGAAAAAGGAGAGCGAAGAGAGAAAAAAGCAAAGGAGAGAAAGACAGTAGAAAAAAGAATGGGAAGAAAAAAGAAACAGGAGAGAAAAAGAAAAGAAGAGGGGAGAGAAAGAGAAGAGAGAAAAACAGGAAAAGAAAGAAAAGAGAGAAAAAAGAAAGAGAAAAAGAATAGAGAAAAAGGAGAAAGAAGGAGAGAAAAAAGAAAAAGCAGAGAGAGAAGAAAGAAGAAAAAAGAGAAAAAGAGAAAAGGACGAGAGAAAAAGAAGAAAGAGAAAGAAAGAGAAGAGAGAAAATGATGACAGTACTGCATCTCCTGTAATGCTATTCATAAAGTAAGATCATCACACACAACTTTGATGTTCCCACTGCAACTGTTATTGTGTAATGAAACGTGGTCAGCTGCCATTACTTACCATTTTCAACATTTGCCAGCCGATGCAGAAGTGGTAACCACACCAGGCACTGAGGTGGAGGATCAGACATGAGAGTGTCCAAGAAAGCGTTTAACGTGACTTTCTTCTGCTCAAACAAACAAGCAAGAGGAAAAAATAGCAACCAGTGATATCAGAATGACTTTCTCTTGTCTTTATTGACACAGAAGTGTTAAGGAATAAAGAGGTTAAACCTTGAATTATAAACTTTTACTCTGAAGATAAAAAGTGACATGGACAAAGGTTTTACAAACAAAAGACAAAGTTTTTAGTGGTTTCGATGTCAATTGGTTCTTGTCATCATGTATTTCTCTGCTGTTATCAGGTCCTTGCTCACTTTAGGAAAGTCGATCCCCCAAAGACTCTTTCTGAATATACCAATTTCCTCATCTGTTCATATTATTACATACCTTGAGTCCTACATAATACACAAAAGCCACTACCTATCATAGAGTGATTGACACTAAGAATTTCACTACTGACATTTTTAGAAAAAAAAATTTTGAAATAATTTTTAAATAATTTTTTAAAATGGGACTTAGGAATCTTTGTTTTTTAGGTGATTTTGAATTTTTTTCTTAAAATCTTAAATTTTATTGGGAGGGGGAAGGGTGGGGTGGAGTTTGAGACTCAAATGTAAATTCCTGTCAGAGATCTGCCTACTATAAAGACTAATTCCTTCCCTTGTATAATGGTAGACAACTGGCAGCCCCTCAGAAATTAAGAACAAATTCCTTCCCATGAAAAAAATAACAGGAATTAAATGTTAACTCCTGTCGGAAACAGTTATAGATAAAATGAGTAGTACTATATTTGTATAGGATACCATATTTCAATTAAAGTTCTTCTCATACATTGTTAGCCAACTGCACAAGGATTGCTTTTCACTGAATCATGGAATGAATAGTCAAGTTGGAATGGATTTCAGGAAGCTATATAGTCCACTCCGCTCCTTAAGGCAGACTGACACCCGGACTAGTGTCAGTCAAGTGTTTGTCTAATCTACTTTAAAAAATTTTCAAGGATGGAAATTCCAAAACCTCTCTGGATAGCCTGTTCTAATATTTAACCACCCTCATAGTCAGAAAACTGTTCCTAACCTCCAACATCAGTTTTCCTTGTTGCAATTTAAGACCATTGTTCCTCTCCTTCTACCTCCACCCACAGAAAATAATGCGTCTCCAACCTCCATATAACTTCACTTCAGGTATTTGAAGACTGTTATCAACCCACACTTGAGTCTTCTCTAAATGAAATAATCCCAGTTCTGCCCATCTTCAGAATTCATGTTTTCCAGGCCTCTAATATTTTTTGTTATTGTGCTGGAGTCTTTCCAATTTGTCCACATCTTCCTTGAAGTGTGGGGCCCAAAACTTGACAGTCCTCTAGAAGAGACCTCACCAATGCCAAATAGAGCAGAATAATCACTTCCCTTTTGCTTGCACGTGACACTTGTATTAATGCAGAACACCAGCATTGCTGGCTATTTGTGCAAAAAGAGCATGATTGGCGTATGGTCCACTGTGACCCTTAGGTCCTTTTCTGTAGTACTGCAACCAAGACAATCCTTTCTCAATCCGTATTTATACACACAATTGTTCTGTCCCAGGTTGAGGACTTCACAGTTATTGTTGAATTTCATTTGATTGATTTCTCCAGTTTATCCAGGTCATTCTGAATCCTAGCTCTGCCCTTTACAGTGTCTGTGACTCCACCCAAATTGGTGCCAGGCAGAAATTGGCTAAGTGTGCACTCAATCCCATCCTTCTCATTTTATCTACTAAGGAAGTGCAGCCTCCTCTAAAAGGAAAATGACAGCTGCTCAACAGTGCACAGTACCACTGTGGTATTGTGGACTGTCTTTTTATGGGCTTTCCTTCCTTCCTTCTCATGCCCTCGTACCAAGGTATTTAGCAGAATTCACAGATCCTTCGGAATCTGGCAGGGTCACATCATGAGCACTACTGCTACGGCCTCAAACTTGCAACCTCTGGGCTGTCAACCATGTGCCTTAGCACCCAAGGCACCCCAGCCCTTTTTATGGACTGAGCTTCCCAGATGCAATCTGGGGAGGGTAGCGAGGTGGGGAAGGAAGCTGTGAAGGTCTTGGTGTTCCTAAGCAAAGCCAGTTGGAACCAGACACAGACAGTAATTACAGTGCCTCAGAGCAGCCTTGCTGCTCAGGTATAGGTGCTGGAGCAGAAAACAAGCTTTAGTTAAAGCATCCCCACTGCCATTTTTAAGCACAAGGATGCTTATACATGAGATGCTCTGGGTGCTGTAGTTAGAGTGGCGCTTGGAGCTGCTCTAATTAAAGCATCCCCTGCCACTCCTGGAGCACGAGTATAAATTCCTTACATCTACATGGCCAGGGGCAGATCTAGAAGGCATGTAGTGGCCTGGTCACCCCACACTTTGGATGTTTCTCATGTGACACAGGCATGGCTGTGGCTGGAGCCCCTGCTTTTGCATGGCTCCAGAGCGAGGGGGTGGAGCCCCCCCGCCACTGCTTGCTCATTCTGTCTTTCCTCTCCCTGCTGTTGAATATTTCAGGGAGGAGGCAGGGAAAGGGTGAATCTCAGCAGCATTCACCCTCTGGGCTCTGGAGCCATGTGAAAGCATGGGTTCTGGCCAGCCCCTACCCCAATCAACTGGTAAGCGCAGAAGTCACTGCTCATGTGGAGCTCCAGCAGGAGTCTGTGCAGTCCAGGCAGTAAGCTCAGAGTTACCATGCATGTGCAGCACAGCCAAAGTGGAGAGGCTGTATCACCCTTACCCTGGATCTGCTAGTATACATAGCAGAATGCAGTGCTGTGGAGAGGTTTCCTGAGCTAGCTATAAACATATTAGTGCCACACACATCTGTGTTAGCTCTGTGTACACTATCTCCATAATTGGAAACAGTACAGCTACATGAGTGCAGCACCTCATCCAGGCTACTAAGCTCTGTTTCTCAGCACAGCCAAAGAGCCCAGCTGAAGTGTTTGGCTAACAGATTTATTCTGCTTCCGGTCCTGGGATTATTAACCCAGACACCACATTGTGCTAATGAAGCTCTGGTACTTCAGCTGCTGGAGTTAGCACATGCTGAGCTATAATTTCAGCTATCTCTGCTCCATGCTGCCTTGGACGTATCCAAAGTAAAGTAGGGCTCTTGAAAGAATGGAGACACTGAGTGATCACTGAACACGGTTCAGAACTGTAAGTAATAAGGGATGTTGTGAAATTGCAGATGAAATGGATGCAGAATGAAAGTACTAGCTTTTTTTGGAAAGAAGGTCCTGGAAGTTTTAGTGAACAGAATGTCAGATGGAAAGACAAACTGACAAGGCTGAAAGACATTGAAAAATAAGACTTCCAGCATTAGAGCTTACCCTAAAAAATACCACCCCTCCAAAGAAAAAATCCCACACACACACTTGGTTTTTAAAGTCTAAATGTATAATAATTTAAAATTTAATAGGAAATGGAAGAGATGCATCAGTACCAGAAATTAGCCTGTGCTAATGAACATGTTAAAAGGACAGTTACCATCTGCCTGCCATCTACACGACCTTCTTCTCATCTGAGAATGAAAAATAGCTTCCCTAATAAAGGAAAATTCCATGTTGCTAAGTACCAGCTCACAAAGTAACAGGTTCCCTTATGGAGTTTTTCTGTGGATGCCTGCCATTGGCATTGCTGACCAGTGCCATCAGCAAATCTCACTATTATCAGTGGCACAGCTAAAAATGGGAGAAAGGTAGCAAGAAAACTAGTGAATGAAAGATAATCCGATTTCCCATAGCACAAATAATCAAGGAGCCTAAAAAGTTCCCCCTGTTCCTGGGGAGAGAGATATTAGCTGTATGCACAGCAGTGTTCTAAACAAGCAAATAGATGCAGAGGCAAGCACACCTTTTTCACAATAACATTCATTTTCGAATGGAGCTATACATTAAAACTTCATTCACACCAAATAAAGCAAGTTCAGCCTCCTTGATAGTTTTATAGCTGCAGTCTTGCAGTGGTCACTAATTTTATGGATTAAAGAAACCAATGTCCCTTAAAAGGACACTGGCAGAGTAATTTCAATATATTTTAAAAGTCATTTTTCCTTCTGCAGTTTTTAACAACTGTTTGGAACCTTGAAACTGAGAGCTATTTTCTAAATATTTGCTATCTAAAAATGAAGGCCATGAGTGTGCAACAACAATTAGCTAAGTGACAGTACAGTAGATTTAGCGACCATCTTTTTAGGTCCACAATTTATTTATTTTTTTTAAATAGGAAGTTCTTTCTCCTATTGCAACACCACTTTCTGATGGGAGGTCAAATATCACATCATGTCAATTCTATCTCTCATGGAAAGAGGTGATGCAAAAATTTCTTTTGTAAGCCCCATGCCCTGAAGAAGGAAAGTTCAAATCAATTACTCCCAAGATTTCTGTTCTGCAAATTCCGAGAGAAGGGAAAGTTGTAGCTGTTATTTTAGATGGCCATTCCCTTTGGGAGTAGCTCACAGGCATGGGGAAAATGTAGATTATTTAAATAAATTAACGTAATGAGATGTGATCAAGTATGTCCAGTATTTTAGGGGAAACTGGCTTGAAATGTGAACTGGGAGGGGTTCAATAGTGTGAGCAGAGAAAAAATATTTTCCTATAATTTTTAAAATCTGTGCAATAGAGATCTGAAAGGCTTCCAATACGTGCACAGGATCCACATCAAAAGTGAACAAAAGGAGATAACTTGAGCAGCTCAGCTTTCCTCACTGCCATGACCTAGTGGCTAGGGATAGACATTCAAAAAGCCTGAGCCTGAATTGATTCAATCTTTGCAGGATAGTCTAACCTGCTTAGGCTGAATCAGTTTCTAACTGTTAAGACATCCCAGAAATGCAGGTACATGCCTGCAGTGGCTCAGGCTAGAAGCCTGGGGGCTCTAGAGCAGCCCTCCCTTCCCTTCCACAATACTGAGCTGAGGGAGGCATGGCCTGTCTGGCAGGATGCTCTGATTAGGGAGGGTTTCCCCCCTCTTCTGACCAACCCAGCAGAGAATTGATAACAGTGTTTATCAACCAATTAAGAAAACAACATAGGGATATTACCAACTACCTGTTGATTCTGCCTTTGTCCCATCTGCCACAGCATGAACCGTAGCCAGCATGTGGTCTGTTAGCAAATGCTGAGAGGCTTCTGTGTAAGGCAGAGGGGATGGGGCAATCCCTGCTTAGCAGGGAGTGGAGAGGGGAAGGGAGAACAGGGGGAAGCCAGGCAGATACCTGCAGTCTTTGCCCAGCTCCAGTGAAGGAGAAGGGAGGGGTCAGCTCTGCTGTGGAGCAGAGAGCCCTGCCCAGCCCAGGGAGCATGCCAGGATGCTGGGGGTGTCTGCTTTAACTTAAATCAGGAAGGGACCGACATTGCATAAACCAGTTTGAGCTCAATCAGTTAAGTCTGATACTACATTTAACCAGGTTTATCTCAAACCAGTTTCAGCCGTTTACAAACTGGTTTTTGTGCACTGAACATCTGTTCACTAAAACTTCCACAACATTCTTTACAAAAAAAGCTAGTGTGAGGAGTTGCGTTCTGCGTCTATTCCATCTTCAGTTTCACAACATCCCTCAGGAACATCTGTTCTGTTACAGGTTTAAACCAGTTTCTGATCACTTAAACCAATTTATGTGTAATGTCTGTCCCTAGCCGTTATGTCTTGAACACTTTTTAGGGTCAGGCAGACACAGGATAAAGGCCAAAAAAGCTGGTTCCTGCATATTTTTTAAATGCCTAATGCCATAACATAGTACAAATATGGCCACTTGTTCTATTCTGTAAAAAGTACGCTACTTTCAGAGCCAGACATACAAGAACCATGTGTGGATAGCCTAGCCACACTGTTAATGACATTATTAAACATAAAAAATCAGATGAGACTCTTTTATTGCTGATTATCAGTTCACAGTCTTAATAAAGAACATTATGAATCAAAAGGGAATCTCTTCTGGGTCTGCTCATACATAAGAAGCAAGCAAACCTATCAGAATGGGTTAGAATATTTTTGTAGATAACGTTGATGAAAATGAAAAGCATTCATTTCTATCAAAATTAATTTTTCATTGGAAAACCAGAGAAACAAACAAACAGCTAACAGGGAAATTTTCAGTTCTCAGAGTTTTTTTTAATGAAAACAGCTTTTGGAGGAAACCACACACTTTCCCCTACATATTTACTGGAAAACTTTTGACCAGTCCTAGTGGCCTGGGGTTCCATTTCTCCTAAGAACTAAGTATCTACCTTGTTTAACACCAAGGTACCACATCATGATATGAAAAGTCCAAAATTCCTGACACAAGCTGCAGTAGTTGGCATGAAAAGATGACAGAGTATTACCATTTAGTTTGGCTAAGACTATGCTATGTCATTCATTTCTAAATTAATCGCTCAGTTTTTTCTAGTTTTAGTATGCTATTTCAGACAGAGTGGAAAGGTGACACTACCAGAATTGAATGGAGAAACTAGGTGGAAAAAAGGGAAACATTTGGTACAAAAAAAAAATGCTGACACTAAAGATGGCTCTGAATATGGAACAGCCCTAGTGGGAGTTAGTAGAACACACCTCAGTTTTAAAACTAGATTGGAAAAATCAGAAGAAAACATAATATAGGGAATTCTGTGTTGATTCTGTGCTGGAAGATTTAATTATCTGCCAGTGGATTTTAATTATGTCAAATTTATATAACCCATGACATGGAGCAATCTTATCCAGAATCATTCTTTACTTGTACAAATGGAAAAGCAAATTGAGAGAGCATCAGATGTAACAATCTTTCTCACATTATGACTAATACTAAACATACCAGTAGAGAGGGCAAGAATGTCAGTCACCCTGCAGCACATCTCCTCTATTTGGATCAGAAGGTCTTAAGACTGTTTTGTACCTGGTGCTGGTAAAACTCAGGGCTTTGGCCTGTTATGAGATATTGTGCCACATTTCTAAAACATTTAGCTACATAAACATGAAACCTAGCGGTAGTGCAATTTACAGAGTCACCTAAGTGAGTTAGGCACCTAATTTTCACTGACATATAGAGATTAGGTATCTAACCTGCTAGACTCCTTTGCAAAACTTACTCAATGCCATTTCCATATTTAAGTGCCTAGATACCTTTCTAAATCTGCCATTATTCGTTAAATGAATCATACAGAAAGTCACACCTCTGGTGGCTGCTAAAACTGTTTGATATTTTTTAATGGGGGGAAAAAGGGGAAATCACTTATTTGGGTGTAGACAATATTCTTTAATAATACAGTCAAAAATGAGCTATTGCTGAACTATAAGCACTGTGACCAACCAGCACTTGCATGATTACTTTGTTAGATTCTTTAGCATGCCATACAGACATGCAGTATGGAGACACTTTATTCACTTATCCCTCAAATACAAAAGCACCTCTATTCAAACATCATTTGGGAGATGATCCAACAAATCAGTTTCAAGAATGCTCTTCAGTTAGCTGGAGTGGCCACTGATTAGTAATGAGAATGTGTGAAACAAAAATGAGGCCCCTCATTGCACAAACGCAGGATCACTAGGTCATCTACATTCAAATGATTTCTAACAATATAATCCTCAGTCCTCTTCCATAGAAAAGAATAGAATAAACAGAAAGAAAATATTGCTCTGTTCCTAACATCTTCCCAGCTTCAGTATCTTTCATTATTTTGTATTTTTTCTATTTCTATGTTATGCATGGTAAGATCAAGAAGGAATTCTTTCCTTCCATCCTGGAAGACCAATGCACTCCCAAGTCAGCTAGGTATTTTTTGGACTATTTTTACACACTCCTCCAAAGCATCAGACAAGATATTAGACTCAGTGGCCGGATCCAGAAGTGCAGGTGTGTGCAGTTTGTGGTGCCACAACCTCTTTGCAGTGCCACAAACCACACATATTGCATGTTAAACTGTGCATGGTGCTGCTAATTTGCAGTACTGGGGCAAAATTTGATACTGGGATTTCCTGATAGCAAAAAAAAAAAAAAAAAGCAGCACAAAGCACACCAAAATGCTGTGTGCTGGGACAAACACTGTGCCAGGACAAACACCAGGAAGTGGCATGTGGAGATGGGGGAGCAGGGAGCCCAGGGCTGCCTGCTCCCCTATCTTAAGGCATTCTGTGCCCCAGCCAGCTGGGGAGTGGCTTGCTGGGGTGCGTCTTGCTGGGGCACAGGGTGTTTAGTGTGAGGGCTCTGCAGCACATGGGAATGGGGGAGCAGGCACCCCAGGGCTCACCTGGTTGCCTGCTTCTCTGTCTCCACACGCTGCTCCCTGGCTTACTGAGGCATACGATACCTCAGCGTGGGGGTGCCTGCTGTTAGCCCTGCACCAAGGCAACCTGGAACCCAGCCAGTTACCCATGCAGCCCATAAAACAGCAGGACAATATGTTCTGCTGCAAACCACACGAGCAGGGGCATACATTGCATCACAAAATAAGGGCACAAATGTGTATCAATACTATTTGAGCTGCTGCAAACTCAAACCATTGCTCGTGTGGACTTGGCCAATATTATCCACATTGTCTGATGTGATGTGACAAATCTCATATTCGTTTAAAGACAGACAAGGTTCTTTGGGTAAATCCAATATCTTGTATTAGACCAACTCAAATAGTTGGAAAAATTCTTCTTTGCAAGCTTTCGGATACAGTTACTAGGCCTGTGCAAATAGAGAAGTATCCGTTTTGGATTGTGTTTTGGCTGATTCAGAAGACAATGATTTGATTCAGAAATTTGGATCATTGTCTCAGTTGATTCGGCCGAGTTGGCTTTGGAAGATTTGGTGATTCGGCCATAGACTATAATGGGGAATCACTGAAATACCTATAGGTTTGTCAATCTTTGGCAGATTTGGATGAAAACAACAGGAACAGTAGCCCCTTCTGAGGGCATGAAGCCTGCCAAGTTTTAAGGATATAGAAGCAGGAGTTTCTGGAAAACTACACCTCAAACTGCTGAAAGCAAAACTCGTGTCACTTGTATGTGTTAAGGCAGATTTGGATGAAAACAGCAGGGATGGTAGCCTGTAACTGGGGGCCTTCCCAGCGCTGGTTAGATCTCTTCTCACCTACCTATTTCTGGGTGAGCCACTCACCCCTCTTTTGCTCAGGCAGAACCAGCTCACAAAAGGGACAGAAAGGGTGCAGACAGAGGCTTATGTGCTGTTTCTACGTCCCTCCCCCAGAGCACTGTGATTGGAAGGGGACTCAGGGAAAGATCACAGTCATGGGCTAGCTACAGATGTAAGTCTTTCCCCACCTGTTCCCCCTCTCTCTTCTAAGTTTCTGTTCCCCTGAAAGACTGTCTTCTGAAACTTGGAATCTTTTTCTGAATCGATTCAGAGGGTTTTTTTGGTCTCCCGATTTCATTCTGATTCGGTTGCTGAATCAAGCCAAATCTTCTCCAAATCGAATCGGTGACCAAAGCTTTGCACACCCCTAACAATTACCCTTCATCAGGCAGAGAGGAAGCATCTGCACATGGTCTGCCTATGTCCTTAGACCAACAAGGCTACAACCGACACCCCTGAAATATTACTTTAAATGGATTTTCAGCACTATCTTGATTTCTACTGAGACTTTCTGCAAGGGGAGTAGTACTATGATATCTAGTTTCCATTTTCAACAAAAAGAGGTGAAAATATGAAGTTCTTTTCTTGCTGGTGAATGCCAAGTGTTTATAATACCTCTGGTGTGAAGGCTACATTTAGGTTCTTGATTTAAGATGTGGTTATCTTCAAGGAGTTCAAGTCAGGCACACCCATGTAACAGGAAAACAGCATCAGCATGAACGAATGCTATGAAGGTAAACACAGGTCTGTGTGTGCAAAATAGAGTGAAGGACAAATGACTGACAGGTTACTTCAGTGATGCCATGTTTTATTACCTGTTGAGAGAAACAGGATTTTGCCGATTGTTCTGTGTAACCAAATGAAGGACCCTCAAAGACCGCAGTAGGCAATTTAAGAACCTCCCGCAGAAACATGTCATACTTTCCATAAACCATCACTCCACTGGAATCTGAAATCATTGAGAAAATATCTGAGGGGGGAAAAAAGAAATGCAAGAAAAGGAAAGGTTTACTTTAGTTTAAGACATATGTCTGCTCTTATCTCAGTAACATCTAATGTGAAAGTAATGTGATTATAGACAATTATGCTTAGTTTATGGAAAACTCCATAAACCATTTGCACATTTACTTTTAGCCAGCTTGCCAGAAGCAAAACAAAAATGTGTATGTGAGCATTGATCCAATTTTTATGTTAAAATATTCATGCATTCTCATGGCTTTGTGATGTCATTCTTTTGTAGCTGGTGCCTTATGCCTGGCATAAGGCAGTAACTTAGTCAGCTACAATGGATCTAATTTGACAAAATGTGTAACATCAAGTTTTTGCCCAGAAGCAACTTACCCTTTCAAATCTAAATTTTGGCAGAGTTTATTGTGTTGTTTGTTATTCTTGGGACACACAGAACAATGAACTTATTTGAAATGCTCTATTTGATTTTAATAACTTTTTCTGTCTTTTAATTATAATAATATAACTTGTACCATTATTTATTATTCTACAGCTTCACATTTCTCTTCTTTTGCTTTTGTTGTTGTTTTCAATGGAAAAATCCACTTTCTGACTTAAGAACTGTTTAGTAGGATTCAAGGCTTGGTAGAATATTCTAACTTAAGAAACCATGAACATATTTTAGACTGTGGTGGATCACCTGTGCAATTCTAAATGATAGAATATCACCCTAAATGCATGTGGATGGAAATCTCAAGCCCTGGAGACTGCTACTGGAAAAACAGTGTGGCATGATAGCCTGCCACTGCATAGATTCTGTTGCTTTAATAAGAAGGCCAAGGGAAACCAATATCTGTCCCTAGTGTCTACCTGTACCCAATATATGTATAACCAATATCTGTCTATAAATGAGGAGAAAAAAGAAAAAAAAAAATTTCACTCTAGATAAGATGAGCCAAAGGACAACAGCAGGGGCAACTGGTGCTTCCCGCATCTGGGGGGGGTACCCGATCGCTGACGGGGGAAGTAGGTCCCCCAGTGGCTGATTGCCAAGGCCGGAATCACCAGCGGCAAAACCAGAAGTGCACTTCCACTGGGACTTCCGGTTTCACAGCTGGCACTTCCAGGGGGTACATGGCCAATCTCAGTGCAAGCACATGCAGCCACATACACCCCATATGCATCACCAATGGACAACAGCACAAAAGATGATGTGTTTTAGTGCTTCTGTGGATAGAATATACCCTGGTTGGGTGTCTTTGGGAAATGGAAATGTACCCTGTAAGGTAGAAGGAAGAGATATGTATTCTGGAGAAGAATCTCAACAGTGTAAAAAAGATATTGATATTTAAGTGTGAAAAAGGGGCTAGGTGTTATGAAAGAGGAATGCAAGGAAACTGCCAAATGATACCTCATACTGTTGGAAACCTGATGCATTTCACTGTAGTTATAAAGTTCTTTGAATTCAATCAACCCAAAAAGAAACTAAATTTGCATTGCTTTTATCAGAATCAGTGTAGCTTGGCTCCAAATATTGAAAATGCACTTGAAGCTCAGTCTGAACAGTAAAGTGGACTTATCTGAATGTGTGAATTGGTACTGATACCAATGACAGCATCATCAAACCAAAACTTTCTCTAATCACCACAGACACTGCTACTAAAGACCCACAACAATGAATACCAGATATGCATATACATAAGAAAAACTTACATCTTAATTTGTCCATGATCTTTCCTCCACAAAGAGTCGCCAAAGCCATTTTGACAGCAAAAACAGACATTTTACCATGTCCTTCCCTGTTCAACAATAAAAAGTTTTTATGTGGTATTATCTAAACAGGACCATTACACATTTTAACCCTATGACATATTATGCAAAATGTGCACACCTTTAAATTCAGTCTTTGGTTTCTTTAGGGAGAACACACAATGAAAAACTGTCTTCCATAATTTTCACAGACCTTCTTAGAACTTTAATACTAAGCTGCTGGAACAATTTTAGCATATTGGTCAGCACATTATGCACTGAGATAATGATGATTACTGGTGCTATAGGAGTAAATAAAGGCTGCAATCAACCTAAGGGCTCAGTATGCTTGGTTTGTTATATACAGAGACTTCCTGTCCCAGAAGAAGGAAAACAAAGGGAATGGCTAAGGATCATGTGGTTGCACAGATTAGCTATTGTGCACCATCCGCCTTTTCTATTATATATAGATCCCATGAACTCCTAGAAAGCATTTTATTTAAAAAATGATCAGTAAGGGCTCTATTATAAAACCCACTGGAGTCAACAGGAGTCCATTTGTTTTCAATGGACTTTGGATCAGCCCTATTCTGACACAACCTAATTTAAAAAAAAAAATCTTACTTTTAAATGTCTCCTTTTGGCCCAGCACGCATTTACCATACTGTAGCACTCACTAATGGTAAACATAGTTTCATTAGTACCACACGACCATGCAGAACCATCTCCTCTTCCCTGGTGGAGTAATGGCACAACACATTTGTTCTATGGAGGAGTTAAGAATCTAGCTATATTTACTTTCAAACAATTCTATTAAACACACAAACACATAAGAGCATATCAGGTACAGGAAAAAAAGGTGCAACAGTTTTCCTACATATCCAGTCATGTCTCAGTTAAATGATAAGGATTTTTTTTTTCCTGCAAGAAACACAGTTGTGTATTTGTAGGGTCTGTATACAATGTGCATCTTAACGTGTTGATCTTTTTACTCAACCATGCCAATGCAATCAATGACAAACACTAGCTGCTTCAGTTCCATACCAAAGTCCTGCAGACCCTCAGTGATTGCCTTGGGTTAGGGTTAGGGTTAGGTTATATTACAGCTGCTGGGTTAGCATATTCCATCCTCATTATAAGGTTCTATGCTTTAATTTCTAAAACTAAATTCTCTTGGTGTGTAAAAAAAACCCAACCAAAACCACCCTAGTAGAAGGCTATCACACACAGCAACATGAATATGCTACAATAGATAATTCCATTTAAAAAGTAGCAATATACCATCTAAAGATCCCCTGGTTTTATATTAACTTTTTTTGGTAGCTAGATTTTAAAATTTTGAGTTTGTCAATTCCCCAGCATTTCCTTGCAAGACAGTTAACGCACAAAATCAAACTGGAGCAACATTTATCTATTATCCAAAATCTGTGGTATTGTATTTATCTATTATCCAATCTGTGGTATTGTCTTCTTTAAATCAAAGCACAGGCAAGATGTTCACATCACCATCATATAAAAATTCTTGGTTCAATGTCAGGCAATACTCTCCAGTCTTATAAAGTAACAAACTCACTTTACCTCCTGCCTATGGGACTAATAGGAGTGCATGTGCATTATACAATATTAGGGTGGTTAAACTATGCCATAAACTCTTCTATCTTTATTCCATCACAGGACACATGTATAAGGATTTATAAGTGATGGAACTGTCTCTTTCCAAGGTACTTCAAACTGCAGTAATAATAGCCAGGAAACAAGATGTGGAAATGTAATGTGTAGTCCACATATACAGAATGGCTCTATTGCTAGTCAATCATCATTTTAATAATCAATCATCCTTTTAATGGAGAAAATTGCATTTGCCAGAACAAAGAGATAACCTAATTTTCTAAGAAGTAGTCCCATGATCCCTTTGCTAAGCACCAAAGCAAAGTAAGATGTGCATAATATTCATGCAGAATTAAGAAATGAAGTTATGTGATTCACTGCTATGATGACTTCAGAGTTTACAGAGTGAGTGCCTTTTGGCATTTCCTAACTGAACACGCATTACAGCTCAGTCAACAAAATTCCCCTTTCATTCCATTTGAAACATTGGAGATTCTACCTTACTGCAATGCTTCTAAGCTTGCTTAAACTATTTTTCTTTGCCAAAAAATGAAATAGAGCAGACAAAAATAAACTAACTGCTACAGCAGTTAAGAATGTAAGGATACATAAATAGCAATTATTGATAATGCAATTATATTGGTTCATATTATCTTTTTCATTTTTGTCTCTGTTTTCTTTGTTAAACCTCAGAAGATTAAAAACATATGATAAAGCACTATGTACCACTCCCATGGTTCCACACTTTACACATGTGTACTCACACTGGGCCAGATTGTTCACTGGTCTAAATTAATGAAACTCCATTGTCTATATATCAGCTAAAAATCTGGCTCAGTGTTTCAATTCTGTCATCCTCCTTTTTGCGCATCACTTCAGAGTCCTTTGTCAATTTTTCTATACACAGTATTTTGGATCGACATACTTGCCTGCTTTTCAAATACCTGTTCAATGTAAGAAAAATAAATTATAAGTGGAAACAACTGCATTCTTAACTGGTAATGAAGGAATTCAATGAAGATAAGCTTTGCTGGAAATGTTGTAGAGTTGGCTACTTTTTTAAAGTTGTTTTGGTTTTATTTAGTTAGAGGATCATATTTCTGAATGGTGGACATGTTAACTTGCCTTTAGCTTTCCACCCCAGAGCCAGAAGCTTTTCCTACACTTGAATAATTATGGGAGCAGGGGAGATGGAAATGGAACGTGTTACATTTAAATTGCAAATCTCTCAGTCTGAATTGATTGGTTTTGACACACTATTTTGTATCAGTAATTTGTATTCATAAATACATAACAAGAGTTAGTGTAAATTCAATTTGCCCACCAAAATGTATATATACGCATGACTGCTGACTGGACAGGATAATGGGGTCTAAGACTTTCCAGTGTCCCTAGGGCCCAGAAATGCTTCAAGCAGTTCTGCTCAGCAATAAAGCTCCTCTCTATTAGCAGCATTAAGACCTCCTGAGGAAAGTGCAACTGCATAAAAGCAAGTAGCCCAGCCACTGGATGATAGCAGCATGTAGTTCTATATTGAACTCGGTGCTCCTTGAGTGAAGCTTTAAAAAAATCTTCCCAGCTTACACTGCATGACTTACAGTGTTGCTAGGAAAAGAAGACGACACCAGAAAATATTTTGATTTAATACTTTTCATATGGAAGAAGTTACAGAACAGGACCATCACATTTCTGCCTTCATTAGGGTTATCTGAGAAGTTCTACTTGCCCCATGTGCATCTATTTCCAAGAGACTCTGTGCAGGGTGGGACCGGGGAGGACTGTTGCAAGAGCAGGCAATCCTGTCTGCTTCAGGCTTATCAGATAACCCTAATGGAGACTGGAGTACACATGTGTGCTGCAACCCTTCCCAGTTTGCTTGTGCGCCTGGCACATAGACAAATTGATACAAAACACAGTGTCAAAACCAATCAATTCAGACTCAGAGATTCGCAATTTAAATGTAACATATTCCCCATCCACCTCCCCTGCTCCCATAATATTCAAGCGTAGGAAAGCCTCTGGCTCTGGGGTGGAAAGCTGAAGGCAAGTCGACATGTTCACCATTCAGCAATATGATCCTCTAGCTAAAATAAACCAAAACAACTTAGAAAAAATAGCCAACTCTACAGCATTTCCAACAGGGCTTATCTTCATTTAATTCCTTCATTACCAATTAAGAATGCAGTCGTTTCCACTTACCATTTATTTTTCTTACATTGAACAGGTATTTGAAAAGCAGGTGAGTTACACCAATTTGTGAACCACTGAGGTAAGCTGAGGCAGCACCAAATTAGAAAAGTTGTGGAGGGAGGCCCTGAGTCTAAAAAAGTTGAGAACCACTGACATAGACCAATATAGCAGCTCCTGTAGCAATAGCATACATATGCACGTATGCGTGCACATGTGCACTCACAGTCCATAGAAAATACAATATCGGCCAAGGCACTAGAGTAATTCCATACTGTTTCAAAGAAAAAAATCCCATATCTTCTTAAACAGGCATCATAGCAGAGCATAAGGTTCTCTCTTTAAATGTCTGAACAAGACATATAAGACACTGTCTGATGGTGCTAAGAGGATCATGTGACATTAAGTGCACAGCACTTCTGGGTTCACGTACACACAAACCAGCAACACCTAGTGTGGGGTACTTAGCATTACATTTGTCTCAGTGAATAATAATGAATTAAAAAACCTCCACATTTTTATAGGAATGACAAACACAATAACAAATAATAAATAATAATAAATAAATGAAAACCTTACTAAGAAAACACCTAACAGTAAGCTGCAGGGAAAGAAGGGGAGCAGAGACTGCAGGGGAGAGCGAGGGAGGGGGGAAGAGGGCAAAGTGGTGGCGAGAAGGCAAGGGCAGAGGTTGCTGGGGCAGGTAACATGGGCAAAGGCACTGTGACAGGAAAAGCTGCAGGGGGCAAATGTGCTTGGGGGACAAGAGTTGGGGGCATCCCAAGCCAGCTGCCTCCTGGCTGCCCCACTGCAGCAATGGTGGGGATGAATTTAAAACAACCCTCCAAAGGAAACAACAAAATTTATAAATTTTCTCTCTATAGACCCCAATTATTGGAGGGGGAGAAGGGATCCTGAATTCAATGCCTCTCTGGCCAAGGGAAAATCACCCCAATTCCCTTCAACTCCTTCAGTTCTGGGACACTGGACAGGTTTATTACCTTATAGCTAGCAGGAGCCAGAACTCACCCAGCCCTGATCAGTCAGTGTTTTCAAAAAGACACTCTGTTTCAGACACTGTTTCAGTCTACCAGACTCTGCTCCTGTTCACAGAGAGTTTTCTCAAAACACTTCCCTCTGGGCCTGATTCACACACACTCCAACCTACAGATCTATCCAGCTATAACCAGGTTGAAAATGCCATAAGGGAAAACGTAGTGGAGAAAACAAAAGAAAAGCAAGCCTAGCATCTGCTGTGTGGTTTGGAAAGGCAGCATATTTATCCTATTAGATTGACACATAGAAAAACTGATTTTATAGTTGACTAGACATGAAGCATAGGCTATTTTTATTAAGCTGTAGCATCACTTTCAAAGGGAGTAGAATTTCTTCAGATGTTTATGGGGTTCCTTAATATCTTAATTGTGGCAGTAAACTCTGAACTGTCAGGGGCTATAATTATGAGTTTCTATTCTCATAGATATAGTTTAATAAGGACATTAATTGGAATCAAGCAGAGCTCTTTCATTCTGTGCAGCAACACGTGTAATGGCCAAATCTCTGAACTGCACTTTTTGCAAATTCTCTTCCTTTTAATGCTTACCTGGACTGTGCACCTAGCATCAATTAGCAGAAGTTGAGGGGGCAGGGAATTTAACATTTTACAGCTACGACAGGAGGCAGGTGAAAAGCTCCCCTCGGAACATATGCTAAGCTTCTTTACAGGATGTCTCCAGTAAGAGTCCAGTGTATATTTGGTCAGAGGTTTTAAGCTTTCACCCTTCCATTCAAAAATAAAGCCCTACCAGTTAGATTTGTACAGTCCGGAGACAGAAATTTGTTTCATAATGCAGACTCCCAATAGGTAGTTAAGCAAACTACAACCCCCTTGTCAATGCAGCTATGTACAGAAACATCTCAATTTCAAATGGAATAAGTAAAGAGGTAAATAGCTTGCAACATATTCCACATTATGACAATGAAGATGTTTTAAGAAGTACTGTGCTGGATTAGACCACCATTCCATCTAGGCTGGCATCAGGTCCCTGACAAAAGTATGTGGTAAACTGTTCAGTGGGAAAGTTTGAAGTCAGCATCGTGTTGTACAGCAATATACTAAACTGATGCAAGTGCAGGCATCACTTCATGACTGCAGCTCACGACTTTGAGCAAAATAATTGACCGATATTCATGTGGGATCTCAGTAATTGTAAGAGCACATTAGCCATGCATTAGTCCAGCTGTCTGAATATCTGATCTTCATCCTCTATTTATTGTTCTCTTATTTTCCTAAGCTCCTCTATCACATGATGAATTATACATATCGACTGGACACTGAATGGAACAGCATTTTTCTTTAGGTGTTTTAATTCTGTTGACTTTTAATTTCACAGTTCCCTCTTGTTTCTGTGTTATGACAAAGGGTGGAGTCAACCTGCTTTCATGTGACATATTACACACTTTTGTATTTCCCCCCCTTTTTTACTACTTTCAGAATTAAGCACAGATAACCTTGCTTATCTGAAAGTCCCAGGAAACCCACAAAATCTTGTAAAATGTACTATTTGTAAAATCAAGTTTGTGCAGAAAGTTTTAAATCTGCTCCTTCCCGCTCTTGAAAGCTTTCTGCACAATTTTCCACTGTTGCCAGGCTTGCCCCCAACTGAATGGCCATAGAATAGGAGTAAATGCCTATGAGACTAAGTTATATCAATCAGATTCATCTAGAATAGAGCTGCCCAACTTCTGAAAAGCTGGGAGTTGCAAGCTGTACCACGTGGCCTCTCTGCTCCCATGCAGCACAGGCCTCTACAGCATGCTGCATCATACTACAGGTTCCCACTCCACACCCCTTTCTCCCTTCAACACTGTGCTGCAGTGCATGGGCCTTCCTGCACTGCAGAGAGGTTTGGAGCTTCTCAGGCCATGGGCTCTCTGAGATCCCAGAGGCAGAAGCAGGAAGTAACGGCTGGGGGAAGGTGTGAAAACCCAGAGACTTTGGTGGCAGCAAAAGGAGTAATAGGGAGAGGACACCTAGACCAGGAGCTCAGGGGCTGTGAGTTAACTTCTCATAGGTCAGATGTAGCCTGTGGACTGCCAGCTAGAAAGCCCTCCTCCAGAATAACCAGCTGTATGCTAGCTCCAGACAATCCAGACAACAGAGGAAGCTGCTTTGCTTTCAAAAGCTCTGTCTGGAGTTGGAAGATCTGCAGCCCAGATTCCTAGCATGGTACAATTTAAAGACGCATAATCTGTGAGGTACCTATATTGATGGGATTATAAATGTAACATTTTAGTGTGCTGGAGTTTAAACCCTGGATACACTTGAGACTACTGTTAGTCTTTGCTTGTATGAAAGTCTCACCCTACATATACCTCTAATCTGTTCTATTCCCCTTTTCATTGTGTTACCCTCTGTCTGTCTTCCATGAAATGAACATAACTGAATGCCCTTTTTGGCCTACCTTCAGCAATGAGGGCTCAGACACCCAAAACCTGTCTGCCCGAGAACAGACCACTGAACTGCTTTTGTCACAGAGGACCTGGTTCTTATTTATACCAAGACCATTTTGCATGCAGTGCTATGGCACTGAAAGACAGGTGGCTGGATTTTTTAAAGGGCATTGCCAAGTTGACAGAACTGAACACAAGTATATGCCAATTTACACTTACTTACACAAATTCAAATTCCTTACACAAATTTACACATCATCAAATTAATCGGAGACCAAGGACAGTGGGCAGTATCTTCCATTATAGGGGTAAAAGACAGGTAAAAGAGCTGTCATACTTAAAACAAGCTCTACATCTGTTTTTCACCACTGAACTTGCTGCACTGTTAGGAGAAATTCATTCTCATTTTTGTATCAACCCCCAGAATGCTCTCAGCACAGTGGAGCCAGTGCAATTCTCCTTTGGAAGGGGAATAGAGCAAGTATGTGCAGGGATGAGCATCCCCTGCCTGCCTGCTTCAGAGCCCCTCCTCCAAGTGTTGAGTTGGAGGTGGGGAGACTGATGGATTTGCTTTCTTATGGATCCACAGGGCATTTCCACATCCAGTGCCTTTGGGAAATGACATACTGTTAGGTCCCACATCAGGCAGTTCAGTTTCAGCACAGGAGTTAGAAGTGGAAGGGCTAATCTGAGGCCCGAGTAAGGATTTTTTTCTTGAAACCCTCTAATTCACTCCCTAGGAGAGCTTCATTTGGATCACTGCCATTTGTAGGGAAGATGGAAGCTCTGCCTTTTAAGTATATTTAGTCTCACCATTTAAAAACAGAGGAGTAAATACTTTGCCTCCATTTTCCTGTAAGATCCCGAGATGTATGGCTGGTGTCTTTACCCAGCTAAAGCACCAAAACAAACACACTGTCATAACTCTCGCTCCCACAGCCCTTGGGCTTTCTTTGTGCTTTCAACAGGATTGCAGTTTACTTGCAGCACACACCAGTGCACATGTTTAGGAATCTTCATTTTCCTCCATTTCCTATCACAGTCACAAATTCAGGGTTTTGCATAAATTAAAATGTCCTGTTTTACTGCCTTCCAAAGGAAAAAAATAATCCTGAAGGCTACAGTTTCACATCCCACTGACTATTTTTCCCTTTGAGGGGGCAGGAAGGGAGGCTGGATGCAGGCAGATGCCTCTGCAGCTTTGTCATGTGGAACCACTGCCTTTTCCCCCAGCTGTTGCCATGGTGACTAAACTCAGGCTCTGAAAGGGGCACAAGTATGTATGGGAGTATGGGATGAGGGGTAGGGGGGAGGGAGACATTTTAATGCTTCTCAAACAAACAATATTTTCAGCTGTGCATTTTCAGAATACAAACAGTAAAAAGGTAATAGGTAATTTGCTTCTGTCAAACTAAAAGGCTGTTCTCAATTATTCTGTTTTGAGATTTCAAGCTATTCAGATGCTTTTAAGAACAGCACTAACATGCTGATGTTTGTGGATCCAATAAACATAATATATGTACACAGCAGAAACAGTACACTTGCATCTCTAATATTAAAATAGGAATCAATCTACATATTGAGCTCACCCTTCTTACACTTAGTTATGGCAAGAAATGGTCTGGGCCGTAATGAACAGGAATTTTATTGCCACTTCTAGATCTTTATCCTATATCTGCCATGGTCTCATAACAGGCTGTATTAGAGCCAGGAAACAGGCACAAGCCAGGAAAAAATGCTCATAGCTGCAAGAACTTGAAGCAAAATGAGTTCTCTCAAAATAAGGAATTACTAACCCATGTCACTACCATAGAAACATAGCAAAGGGTTCAGGTCTCTGACATGCCAATATATAACAATGCAAGTTAAGAAAGGAAGTGACAATATTTTAGGAATAGTCCCATTCCTATATAAACTCCTAGAGTAAGTTAGGAATAACCTTGTTGATGACATCAGAGTTATTCTGGATTCAACTGATTATAATTGAGAACAGAACCAAGATCCTTTATTCTAGTTTCTCTCGACTTACTGAGCACCAGTTAATCATCCATTATTTTGAGCAGGAATTTAAGTTAGCTCATCTGTTTTTCTGAGTTGCATGAGAAAGAGGCAAAAACTGATCAGAATACATAGAGAAGCTTATATGGATGATAAAGGGAAACTTACGGATCAAAGGCTGCTAGCAGGAAGTTGAGCAGTAAGCCGATGGATTGTTCCACATTGATCTGGTGAGTGGTTGGCATCCGTTTGTTGAGCTGGTAGAAAATAGTTGAAAGCACGGCTTCCAGACGAGCCACATTCAGTTCTAAGCTTGGGTCCAGGTTATTCAATGCATTTTCTCGCAAGGCTTCTATAACGTTCCAAATGTCCACCAGATGCACTATGCACAATTGGAGAACAGCCATCAAATATAAACAATATTCCCCATAAGTCATTGAAAAAAATAAATCAACTGTGCTATGGTAGGTTGACAAAGTCCATTCAGGTCAGATGGTATTTTTATATATTAATACATCTACTGTATTTTCCCCATCGTTAGTGTTTAAACTACTCAGGAGAACAGTGGGGGTGGGGGAAGGAAAAAGCCTAAATATGCTGATAACAAATAATAAGCAAACTGATATTAATGAGAGAGATTCGGTCATGAGAGCTCAACAGTAGTTGTGAATATGGCTATAATTCACGAAAGCATTTTGTATTCATGAAAACACTTCTTTAGATGCTTAAGTTTCTTTAAATGGATGTGACTTAAGCATGTTCCTAATTTTCATCCTGAAACACATCTATATGACTAACAGCTTGGAAATTCTCTTATTTAATTTATGTAGTAGGTCTAATTTTCAAAAGTTCCTAAGAAAGCTACATGCAACTAGCAATGACTTTCAAACTTACACACTTTGGAAAATCCTACTCAGCAGCTTGTGTCAGAATGAGAGTGTTTCATAAAAGCAGAATGTATTATACTGAGTCTGGCACACTAGTTACAGTTTTGAAAAAAAAGTACTGTAGTAATGATTAACATATATTTTATTCTTTTAAATACACTTGTGAAATGTTTTGTAAAATCTTTTCTTCCTTTTTAAGTTCCTGCCCAAACTGAATTTTAGCTTAAAAGGAAGTAGCTTAAAAGGAAAAATGAAAGCCCCTATGCATCTTAATTTTACTGTGGCAATATTACTGGATCACTACAAATCAAAATTTCCAGTCTAAAACTGGTAGATCATTCCAAATGGAAGAAAATTGCTCCAGCTCAAAAATCTACATTTATCTGAATTATTTGAGTGTTTTTCCTAAACCTGAATAACATCCCTACTGAACTGCTTCTATTTCATAAATCACATTCAGTAAAACTACGTGGTCATAATACAGATTTTTTTTATTATAGTGGTAACATATATCTTATATCGCAACCTGAGAATTTTGTTGTACACATCATACAACATGTCATGATATATCTGCACATAGAAAATGAAGTCTATTGTTATAGATACAGAAATATTGTTTCAGTTCTTCCAATCACAATTAATCACGTGTCAGACACCAGTATGTTGACAGCATCTCAAGTGCCAGCATAGAAAACGACCACAGCAAGTTTACAGCTAGTCTCTGAAACAATGTTTCTGTTCAAACTTTCTGGCTTGTACGAAATGCATAATGGTACCGGGCGGATAAGTGAAACTGAATATACTAGCCTACTTTACATTTTATTACATTATATTTCCCTCTCAGTGGGTTAACAGCAGCAGAACCCATTTTATATATTGGATGCATATACTTTTCTGGGAAAGGCTGCATGATACAGTTCCATGCTTGGTGCAATTTGAAATCTTAGGTCTCTGTTTTAAAAGGAAACCTTTATAGGCGACCTTGGACACCTTCAGCAGTGTAGTTGAAGGGTCCTCCTGCACTCAACTAGATAGAGGACACAGTTAGATATTCATTATTTTTTCTGCTCCCGTTACCTATTCTCCAACTGGAGAAGGGGTGTTACTCCATTAGAAGTGTTGAAGTGGAGCTCAAATTCATTTGCCATAGATTTCATAGTGCTAGCAAACCCTCTTGACTTCCAGAAACTCACAACAATAAGGCAAACAGGGTTTAAAGGAAGCTACATAACCTCAAATGAAAGTGTCTTTAAACAGACAGCACATCTCTGGGAATAAAGTAAATCTAAATAATTAACCCAGTATTCAGAGACAGATTGGGTCAGTCAGTCATCACTGACTCCAAGATGGACATGGGCCGACAATGCGAGGTCACGGTTGGCAGGGCTAACCAGACCCTATCGTGCATCCACAGGTGCATCTTGAGTAGGGCCAAGGAGGTGATCCTCCCCCTCTACGCGACACTAGTCAGGCCGCAGCTGGAGTACTGTGTCCAGTTCTGGGCATCCCACTTGAAGAGGGATGTGGACAACAGAGGGTCCAGAGGAGGGCCACCTGCATGATCCAGGGACAGCAGGGCAGACCCTACAATGAGAGACTACGGGACCTGAACCTGTTCAGCCTTTACAAGAGAAGGCTGAGGGGGGATCTTGTGACCATCCATAAACTCACTAGGGGGAACCAGAAGGGTTTGGGGGAGACCTTGTTTCCCCTAGCGCCCCCCGGGATAACAAGGAATAACGGCCACAAGTTGCTGGAGAGTAGGTTTAGATTAGACGTCCGTAAGAACTACTTCACAGTCAGGGTGGCTAGGATCTGGAACCAACTTCCAGGGGAAGTGGTGCTGGCTCCTCCGCTGGGGGTCTTTAAGAAGCGACTCGATGCCTACCTGGCTGGGGTCACTTGAGCCCAGTTTCCCTCCTGCCCAGGCAGGGGGTCGGACTTGAAGATCTACAAGGTGTTAGATATTCATTATTTTTTCTGCTCCCGTTACCTATTCTCCAACTGGAGAAGGGGTGTTACTCCATTAGAAGTGTTGAAGTGGAGCTCAAATTCATTTGCCATAGATTTCATAGTGCTAGCAAACCCTCTTGACTTCCAGAAACTCACAACAATAAGGCAAACAGGGTTTAAAGGAAGCTACATAACCTCAAATGAAAGTGTCTTTAAACAGACAGCACATCTCTGGGAATAAAGTAAATCTAAATAATTAACCCAGTATTCAGAGACAGATTGGGTCAGTCAGTCATCACTGACTCCAAGATGGACATGGGCCGACAATGCGAGGTCACGGTTGGCAGGGCTAACCAGACCCTATCGTGCATCCACAGGTGCATCTTGAGTAGGGCCAAGGAGGTGATCCTCCCCCTCTACGCGACACTAGTCAGGCCGCAGCTGGAGTACTGTGTCCAGTTCTGGGCATCCCACTTGAAGAGGGATGTGGACAACAGAGGGTCCAGAGGAGGGCCACCTGCATGATCCAGGGACAGCAGGGCAGACCCTACAATGAGAGACTACGGGACCTGAACCTGTTCAGCCTTTACAAGAGAAGGCTGAGGGGGGATCTTGTGACCATCCATAAACTCACTAGGGGGAACCAGAAGGGTTTGGGGGAGACCTTGTTTCCCCTAGCGCCCCCCGGGATAACAAGGAATAACGGCCACAAGTTGCTGGAGAGTAGGTTTAGATTAGACGTCCGTAAGAACTACTTCACAGTCAGGGTGGCTAGGATCTGGAACCAACTTCCAGGGGAAGTGGTGCTGGCTCCTCCGCTGGGGGTCTTTAAGAAGCGACTCGATGCCTACCTGGCTGGGGTCACTTGAGCCCAGTTTCCCTCCTGCCCAGGCAGGGGGTCGGACTTGAAGATCTACAAGGTCCCTTCCAACCCTACTTCTATGGTTCTATGACCAGTATTTGTATTCAATTACTAGGAAGGGAGATGTTCAAAGGCTAGTAGACCTGTGACTAATTAGCAGCACCTTAACACATTTAAAAGAGAGGATAATGCTAATGTTGAATCTGAAAGTCTCCCATGCCTCTTGTGTTCCCCAGTATGTCACAGAACATACCACAAAGCTAAGAAACAACTGTCTCTCAAAAGATACAATGACTTATTTTATTGGCAAAAAAACCCTCTCCTTGGAAAATGTCATGCATTTGTACTATAAATATTTATTTGTGTATGTTTTTAGAAATATTTTGGTTCAGTTTGAAGCTGTCTCAACAAACATCCTATTCTACAATTATGTTTTGATGTTTATCTATGGGCCTTGAGGTGCTTTACTGGGATTGAAAAGTATTATTTCCCCTATTTTATACAAAGAAATTGTAGCCCAGGGATGCTAAAATAAACATTTTCAAAGGTGTCTACTCAAATATTGCAGACTCTAGAACATGGTGCACTTCTGAAAACATTAACTAGGTGACTTGTTCAAAGAGTTGAGACTAGAACCTTGTTCTCTCAGTCCTAAACTAAGCCATTCAATCCTGTGCTTCAGTGTTAAGGGCGGCCATTTGTTCTCTTCAACAAGAATCTACTATGACCTTCAATAATTTAGGAATAACTACCAGAACTTGGCATAACTGGGTAAAAAGGGCCTGGTTTTGCACCAAGGAATTAATACTGACCCTACTGACCAAATAGATTCCTGGTCCACCTCAATTTTCTTGGTATAGGTAGTTAGCCCCGTGAGACTGAAGTCAGAGAGAAGGTGGGGCAACACAGCACCTTAGAGATTAATTCATTATGAGAAGCATAAGTTTACATAGGTGACAGCCTACTTTGTTAGATGTTATGAACACTAGACTTGCAGAGAGCAGAGGCACTAAAAATAGAAAGGAAAAATGTAATTTACATACAAAGGATATGGAAAGGTGGAAAAAAGGACAGGGGAGGGTACAGCTGAGAGAAGTGAAGGTGGAATGAGATCAAAAGTGATAAACAAAGCAGTTAACCCACTGAAGGACACAGGGGTTATAAAAGCTAGTCCACGTAGTGGGATAAAAATCTGGAGTCTCTGTTAAAACCATACTTAACGTAAACCAATCTGTGGAGAATTTCTTGTTTTGCAATTTCATGTTCAAGTTAGCTTTTAATGCTCCACTGTTTAAGAACAGCTACTTTGAAGGCAGTGATGGTCTCCCATTTCCTGTCTGTACACTACCTAACCTAAGAAAACCTTAATATTCATTGGTCCTTTGAGCACTACCATAAAAACTAGAAGCATGTATAAACAGAGCTCAGAGATGGATAGGAGTTGTTCTAGATCTAACATCTGCACTAGTTAAGTAATCAAATGGGAAATGGGTCTGCTTTTCTACATGTGTTTTCCTCTGGGTTTATGGCCACCACACTTTCCTCAGAAAAGGCAGACCTCACTTGATTTCATGCATGAATGAGCTGCATATGCCTAAAAGAATATATAAACAATAGAAATCCATCAATGTATTTTCTATATTCTGGAAAGATCATTAGGTATTCAGGAGGAAAATTTAC